AATTCACAATAAAACATTTAAAACAAGACAAAAAACACCACTTGGAGAGTGAAAATCAATACATCAGCTAGTAATAAAGAAATATTCTAGATGGTACAATAGTCCCTAACATAATTCTCAAAGAAGGTTAGTATGTGAGAGTAAAAGAGAATGTATTTGTGTGTGAAAATTTGATAATTAACTTAAAACTGCCCACTCTTTTTTTGTAATGAACAAGAAAGAAATGTTTCCCAAAAGAATTAGGATAAAGTAATCCCTTTAATACTCTGAGATGCAAAGAAAACTACAAGCGAATTATTCTTCTGAATAAATAAACAGTATGAGTAGAACCAATGCAGTAGGAGAAAAGAGTCCAATCCTAGCTTTTTTCATCTAATAGCTATTATTTTAGAAAAATGTACAAAAATCTTGGCATTCAAAGAGTTAACATAATGTTCACTCAGGAATAGCTTCAACGTCTCTTCAAATGCATGTATTCCATAAAAGGTAGTATTATGTAATTCTGCTGAAACAGGAATTTGAATTATAGCTGTATCATGCAGAAATAAGTCACTTACAGAATGAATAAGCCTAAAATAAACCTCACAATGTATAGTCTCAGCTTAGAGGCCCTCATGGCATCATTTAAAATTCTTACTTTTACAGTCATATTTGAGTGTATTTTATTATGAGGGAAAGTATATGCTAAAATGGTATTCCTGGATATCTTGGGGATATATGCCTTGTAAATGTCAGGACTTACAGTAACCACAGCTGTAATGTAGGGATAATACCTAACACAGTGAGATAGAGTATATAAAAGTGCTTTTATTATTTTTTAAACAAATTAGAGTAATTGCATAAAACAATATTAAATAAAAAGTAAATATTAAATTAAATTATTTCTTCTGTTTTGAAAAGATGCTAGACAGTGATTTTCTTAATTTTAGAATACACAGCTGGCAAGTCCTTAACCAAGTTTACTTTTCCTTTTTGGTGACAACTCTCACAATACTATTTTATTCACTTCTTTTAGTCACTTTTACAGACTCCTGCCTCACTAACTTTTCTTTCTTAATCACAATGCAACAACTTTGGAGCTCTTATGTTTCTAAATCTACAGGGCAGCATAGAAAATTAACGGAACTCTACTATTTACTTAATGTAAACTTGATTATTTATTCAATGTTAAATATACCTTTCCATATTTCAGTTGTTGTTGTTAAGTGCCATCGAATCAGTTCCAACTCATAGGACCCACTGGTGGGTTTGAACTTCTGACCTTGTTGTTAGCAGTTCAGTGCTTACTCTACAGTGTCACATCAGGCCTCTTGTATTTTAAAATATCTACTCAATTATGATGATGATTAGCATTATAAACTGTAATTCATGTCATAAATGATCCTTTTCAAGAAAAGCAAATAGGCTTTTCATTATTCTATGTCCAGAGATCATGAGTTTCCCTCAATGAAAGGGAAATTGCTAATAAACTTAATTCCGCCTAACTATTAAGCACATTTATTAAAGGGAGAGCTAGAAAGTAAGTGAACGAGTCACCACTGTTAATGCAAGAGTATGCCAGGCTCCAAATCTAAATCCTAAACTTTATACACCAAAAGGAAATTTTCTGTACAGGTTCCACGAACATCAAATACTCAAGAGTTCAGAATCAGCTGATGGCAGAAGCTATACAGTTAATTACAAACCACAGTCCAGTTTATTTCAGTTTAATAAACCCAGGAGTTCAAGGAGCTGATAAGACAGAAGTGGTAATACCTTTCCTCTTGACTCAAACCTGTTCTCTGTGTTAAAAGTCCTCCAATCTACTACCTCTTCTGCAGAAAACAGAATGATTTATTTTCTAACTGTAAAGAGCTCTGGTAGCTCTGGTTACAAGTTGGGCTGTTAACCGCAAGGTCAGCAGTTCGAAACAAAACCAGCTGTTCTATAGAAGAAAGATTGGGTTTTCTGCTCCTGTAAAGATTTACAGCCTCAGGGTCGCTTGAGTCTCGATGGACTCTACAGCACACTACCACCATTTTATAACTGTGGTTTATAATGCCAAATCATTTTTAATTTACTTTTTAAATGTAATTTTGTTAATTATTTAATTGTGCAATTCAAAATTTAATACCCAATGGAAAGCAGGCAAATGCTATTTTTATTTGTGCTCTGAACAACTTGCCCAATTGTTTTTATTTATCACCAACAACTTTCTTTGTAATGCATTCAGTCTTACCAAGAGAGTGTGAGAAGTCAAGACATGAGAGTATGTTTCAGCTTCATTACTTCATCCAGTCTCCCAAAATACTCATTACAACATTCAAGGAGAAAATGAAACAAAACAAATTTGTGCTGTAAACTGGTTAAGAAGGCAGAGTTAGAAATCTAAGCCTGTCCAGTAAATGGTAAAAAGATAGAAAAAAAAAGAAAACAACAAGATTACAGAGGGTCTAGGCATTAGAAAGAATGAGTAAGTACAGAAAATGCAGAAGGCTAACCCTGAGAAAGTAGATAACATGTAGGTTAGAAGAGTTTATAAATGTTTACACATATATAACTTATAAGCATTATCTCACTTTATAAAAACTGTAGTGTTTTACAGAGAACAAGTATCTTCAAAGTACCAGGAAAGCTTTAAAATCAACCAACCACCAACCAACAAAAGTAAAAAAAATCTTCCTCTGAAGTCTTTAAAAATTAAGTATTTTCCTCAATTCAAACAGCCAATTCCTATTTCAACATCTTTCTAATTCAGATCTTATAGAACACATTTTCATAAGGCACACATGTAAAAAGCCATAACTGAAAGAGTAATTACATATATATGTATGTTGTTGTTGTTGTTAAGTGCCATCGAGTTGGTTCCGACCCATAGCGACCCTGTACAGGGTTTCCGAGGCTGTAAGTCTTTATGGCAACAGAAAGCCTCATCTTTCTCCCGTGGA